GGGGGGGGGGGGAGTCTTAGCAATTATAATGTAAAAGAAAGCTTGAGTTTCATCAATTATATTTACATATATAAAGAAAGACTAAGCTATTAGAGGACGTTTTATGTATTGGCATTGCCCCGTAAGAAGAATCCCCCAAACAGGAATCACTTACACAATTTTAGTCTTCATTTTGGGCCAAAGGAGATGGTGCTATGAAGAGTGTGACTCCATAGTGCTCGAAATAGCCTTAAACAAAATTAAGCGGGATTACTGCTAAAAAGATCACAATAGTAAAACAATAAACGGATTTTAATTTTGTTTACAAACCACTATTATCATGTAGGTAGCATTGTAGTCTTAGAAATTTTAGTAAATGATAATCATCATCTGGTCCAGTGTAATGGTGTAATATCTAGTTAGCTTGCAGATGTTAATTAAAAATAATAATTTAGTTCCTTTTAATACGTGGCTAGCTACATAAAATAGGAAAGATTTCTAGCCATGTGTAGATGGGCTTTTGTGTAATTTTAAGATGCCAGATCTTCACTTCTCCATGTCTTTGCTCATGCTATTTTTCCTGGAATTATCCTTCCTTGTCCACTCTTGCAAACTCCAGCTTGTCCTCCAGAATCCAGCCAGAGTCACACTTCCTCTCTGGCTTTTCTTGGCACTGTCTTCCTGCCACAGGTTCTCCCCTTAAGATTAACTGATTAATTGTTTCCTCCTTTGTGTTCCCAAAGCCTGAGTTTCGAGGGTACCTCTGTCACCTTTGTTTCTGTAGTGACTGGCGCAGCCCCTGTCTCATAATACATGTTTAATAAATAAGGATTTGGTTTGAAGCATTAGGCTGTTTTTACCTTGGTCACTGATTCATCCAGCAAAATATTTATTAAGAGATTTTTATATGCAGGGTGCTGTGTCATAATGTAGATACGGGGGGAAAAATCAGATGCTCAATTTCTTAAAAACTTAAAATATAGTGTAATAAGAAAAAAATAAGTCATGCATAAAAAAGTCACTGTAATACATGGTTTGAAGTGTTATATTCCAGGAGAGGGGTGTGTGTGTGTGTGAGAGAGAGAGAGAATTTCATGCTGGGGTTCAAGAATGTCTTATTGACTAGGGAAATATTTTTCCTTATTAAGTAGCTAAAGAGCTGTGATTCGAAGCTATGATTTTTTTGATGTTTCACAAATTAGGTTAAATTCTATCCGAGATCTAAAAATGTATCTCTCTCCTTCACTTTAACTTGGTGTATGTACTATTGTAGACTATTGGATTAAAACACAGCTCAGGGTTATGCCGCTACTTGCCAAACTGTCCACCTTTAAAATAGAGAAAGTTTCATTTGGTGCCTTAAGGTATAAATTTAACGCATTCCCTAGTTTTTAGAAAGCACCTTCAGTGATAAATCCTTTACATGTTCCTACGAGTTATTCCTAATTGCCATTAGAAATTGGCTTTTGAAAACAGTCAACAATAATGTCATTGAAATGAAAAATCCAAACCACACTTGAGAACTTTTAAAACTGGTCAGCATAGTTTGAATAATCAGCATTTAATTGTATTTAAGCCAATGTATTTAAAAAATTCGGCAGATTACATTTTTCCACATTAAGGCATAAGGTGTTAACAGTGTAAGTGGTTACAGATGTTACCTGATGGTCACCAGCAGTTTTTCTCTTTTCATTTAGACTTGGATTATCACTTGCATTTATCTTCAGCTGCTCCTCTTTAATCCTCTCGTCAAAACTACAGGGATCTGCACAAACCGTGTAACTGATGATGTGAAAGACGTTACAAAATTGGTAAGTAAGGAATACTTTCAATAGCTGTGACTCTTTTTCTTATGCTTTTTGAAAAAGATTTCATTTTTTTCCTGCTCCAAATTGGTATTTTTCTAAGACAAGGGGGAAAAAAATCACTGAGTTACCTAAAGTGTTTATAGGGAGAGCAGCTGGGCAGATGCTTAAGGTCACAGGGAATCTGTGGGTAAAATTGGCCCATGGCGCACAGCTGCACTGACTGGTGACTGGGTTTTTTCGCTGGTCTTTCATCTCATTCACAGGCGGTGAAGGACACTGGAGAGTTCCCTCTCTGTGTGCTGTTGTGCCAGCCCTAGCTCCTTCCCCATTAGCTCTGTAGTGGTTTCCTCAGCATGGCCATTTCCCCTCCACATGCCTTCCTACCTTTCTCTAACAAGCCTGACCAGAGGAGATCTGAGATGCCCATTCTCCTCTTTCCAACAGCTGGGAGACCCTGTCCCATGTGGGTGCCTGTTTGTTCCCTCAGTGAACATAGTTGGAGGAGTGGTTGGTTGCCTAACTGTTGACCAGACTCATCTCTCACATTTGTCTCTGGAACTCTTCCCTCAGCCAAAGCCATTTCACACTGGTGCCGTTGGGCAATGCCGGCTTCATGCCCTGCTTCTCATAAAATGCAGACCACAAAGACAGAGGGCCTAATACCACATCTGGAATGCACTGTTCCCGGCTCTGATGATCTAGGGGAGATTGCACATGCTCATTTGAGTAACAGTGTGATTTCAGGATGAACAACATCTGAGAGGCGTTTTCGTAAATTACTGGTTCAGAATAGCCAAGGATGCTTAGTTGTTTGAATATTGTCTAGAGAACAGAGGTGATGTGAGACGAAGAAAGGAATGAGGTTTGTTGTAATAGGTAGGAAAGAACGAAAAAGAAATTTGTTGAGATATTTATCTTTCCTACTCTTAATATATTGATTTCCTGGTTTGTGTGTTTTATTTTGGGTTCGTAGCTGAACGTCAAAACAAAAGTTTAATGCTATGGCCAGAATCTCGCTAGCTTAGCCTCAGTGCAAAGTTAGGAACACAGGCAAGCATGCACACATACACAATTTATGCAGATTCCTTAGAAGGACACCGAGAGGGTACAGGTTTAAAAGTATTCTTTTTTTAAAAATATGTTTTTATTGATTTTAGAGAGAGAGGAAGGGAAAGGGAGAGAGAGAAACATTGATGTGAGAGAGAGACATCGATTGGCTGACTCCTGCAGGCCCCCCACTGAGGATCGAGCCCACACCCCGGGCATGTGCCCTGACTGGGAATTAAACAAGTGAGCTTTTGGTGCATGGGACAGGGCTCAGCCAGCTGAGCCACAGTGGCCAGGGTGAAAGTATTCTTGATGTGGCATCTGAAGATATAGTAACATGTTTTATTTGAGGGGCTGGTGACCAAAGCAATGCAACATTTGCCTACTATATGCCCAGCTAGGTACTGAGTATAGTGATGGAGTTGAAGGGGAAGTTTATTTTTTTTAAAAAAACACACAGAGATCATGGTCCTTTTCCTCAAGTTCCTTATTAGTTTGTGACCCAAGAAATTATATTAAAAATATATGTTTATATTCTAAATTTTGTATTAGTGGAAGACGCTCATTAAATGTTTGTTTGATGAGTGAAGTAAGGATGTGCTCCACTGGGTTGACAATTGTAATCACATATGGTGCTTATTAAAATTACAGGTGTCAGGGCCCTACTGATTCAATAGGTCTGAGCAAGGACTCCAGGCATCTACATTTTTAGGACATTTCTGAAAGGTGGTTTAAGAACTACTGCTGTAGATGGTCTATTTTGTCAAACTTCAGAGACCAAAGTGTCTTAACTTAGATTTATTCTCAATTTTTATTATGACTAGTTCTATCTATGTTGTATAGATTTATATGGATATCAGATTAATACGCATCTCTAATCTATGCTTAAGGTGGGTGGCAACTCAGTAATTAGAACTCTCAAGGTGCTACTATTAGAGCTGTGGAGCTGAGAACAAGCTGGGGTGATCTGCAGGGGTCCTGGGGAGCAAGTTTCAAATATGTGGACAATGAATCATGGTTGGAAGATGATGGTGTATCTGACCACAGGCCGAGTATATCCAAGATTAACATGGCATTTAAGAAATTACCTGTTTGGTGTTATTGTTTGCTAAGTGTTTGAGGAGTACTACCTAATGAGCACCACTTCCTGTGAAATGTCAAATCGGTATTTTCAAATAGCATATGTAGGTATTATAAACACCTTCCAAGATTTTCTATTCTTGTCTTTAACCATTCACTTATTTTCAGTCTGTTACCTGTCCGTTGATACAATTGAAAATGGCAAGAAGCACTAAAGAGAAAGAAGTGCCCAGAGAGGGATGCTTATTAATACTGACATTAAAATATAATTCCTCCCCCCAAGGACAACTGTGAAATCATCATAATGAAAGGGGGTTTTATCTCCCTTCTAGCAACTGACTCAGGTGGAAAATTTTTAATTTCAAGAGTTGATCTAGTGAAATTAGCCTGTTTATTTCAGATTATTTAAAAAAATCAAGTTAATAAAAGATAGAACTCAGAAGATTACTTCTAATTAAATAAAGACCTACATAATTCACAGCCTATGTTTCATAGAGTAGGAAATAGAGAAATATAAAATAATTTCAGATATCAAAGTGGGAGATAAGCCATGTCTACGAAAATGTGAATGCATATCACTCACACCACAGAAACAACACATAAATGGATGCCATTTAAAAGATTTTATGGTATAACATGGGACCCAACCTGTGCGAATATATTGATTAAGAGAATGGATTTTGGAATCAAGCAGACCTGAATTTTAAATCCCAGGTCTTTGACCTTGGATAAGTTAACTGCCTTTCTAAATTTCAATACCTAGGTTCCTGGTTCCAAATTTTGTGGGTTATATTAAAGAGAATTTTTACCTCAGTTATTATCACATAACCTCTTTGTGCCTCAGTTTCCTCATCAATATAATCAATTAACAGTACTTTATACCCTGGCCTGTGTGCTCAGTTGGTTGGAGCATCATCCTGTGCACCGAATGGTGGCAGGTTGATTCCTGGTCAGAGCACATACCCAGGTTTTCGGTTTGATTTCGGTCAGGGCATGTGTGGGAGGCAACCTATCGATGTTTCTCTCTCTCTCCTTCTCTCTCTCTCTTTCTTTCTCTCTCCCTTCCTCTCCCTAAAATCAATAATAATAATAATACTTTACCTCATAGAGGGATTGCAAGAATTAAATAAGTTAATACAACATTGCAAGAAACATAGCAAGTGCCTGCTAATATTAACTATTAGTGGTGATAGTAATGGTGTTTGTTGGGATCATAGGATACCAAAGCTGAAAGGGAATTTAGAGACATTATAGACAAACTGTTTTATAAATAAGGAAGCCAAGACCCAAGAGTGTTGAAGATGAGCTCCTGGTCCCATTACCAGTGCTTCTAGAACAGTGGTTCTGAAATGGGCTTCTAGAGCCCACCCTGCCACTCTGCTTTTCATCTGCGTATCTGGGTTTCCAAGTAAGAAACAATAATGAAACTTATGAAAAATGTTTGAAAGCAACTGCTTTAAACTAGTGTTTGTGTGATATCATTTGAGAACCATGTGTTAGGGTACTTATTAAAAGTACAGCTCAATACAGTCTCTTAGAGTATTTATTAAAAGTATAGCTGTCAGGGCCCCCTTCAAAAGTGCTGAATCTCAACCTGCCGAGATGGGGTGGAGGACCTGAATGTGTCTGACCAGCAGCCCAGGTGATACTTATTTGCATAGAAGTACAAGGACTGCTTAGGTCATAATACTTGTAATGTTGGTTTTTTTCATATTTGAAAATAATCCGTGTTTCCATCCTTAAACTAAAATTTGTTAATTTCATTCATTCAAACAACACGAGTGACTTTTGAGTTTTACGCATTTCAGTAATCACAGCCTCCCTCTAAAGAGCAGTGGGGCACAGCACCTTGACCTCAGGCGCCCGGGGCTATTGGAGTACCAGTGCTACCGTAACCCAGCTGTGTGACCTTGCACAAATAAGTCCCTGCATTTGTCCAGATTCAGTTTCTGGTTTTTAAAATGAGGAACGAAGGACACGATCCCTAGTTCTTAATCTAGGATTCATAAACTTCAAAGCCTCGCAAACTGGAACTCCAGATTATGCCTTGCGTGCCCTATGTGGATTTCTGAGAAGGGGGTGCCTAGCTTTCATCTGCTTTGCTTCCCGGAGAAGTGTCTGACCCCTCATGAAGGTAAGAGCTACTAACTTAGATGACCTCTTAGGCTCTTGGAGGCCCTTGGAGGCCCTTGGAGGCCCTTGGAGGCTCTTGGAGGCTCTTGGAGGCCCTTGGAGGCCCTCGGAGGCCCTCGGAGGCCCTTGGAGGCTCTTTCTAGCTCCGAAGTTCTTTTAGTCTGTAATGATACTTCCTCAAGTTGCATCTTTTGGAGCAATTGGCTAATGTTTTAACTAAAGGAGGTTGTGTAGAATGAGAGAAGTTTGCTTTGCAGGCATAACCCTGGTAAGTTTTATCCGAGGGACAGAAAGTGGATTGATAGTACGTTTTTGCCTTGTGCTCACAGTGACTTCTTCAACTGAAACCCCCCCTTTTAGTCTCTGTCCGTCCTGTGTCTACAGTAGGTGGCAACTTGTGCTGTGCCCACAGACCTTAAGTTGCTTGGCTTGGGACCATTCTCATGTCACAGAAGCATATGACTTATGACTTGACTGTAGTTTTTTTTGTCTTCCGATTTCTTCTTGGACACTTTGTTCTACCCCTACGGTCCCCATGGTTTTCATCTGAAACCCTTCTGGCACGTTTCCTCAGCATAACAGTTCATCTGTTTACAGAACGTTTTTGCTTTGTTTCTTCAAAAATGTTGCAAGACTTATTTTAAATGGCAAACTCAGACCTCCCGAAGGAAAGGGTCAAGTGTCTGGGAAGACAATGAATGAAACTTTAAAAGCTTGTATCTAGAGGACGGTTAGGCTGCAGC